AGGCTGCTGATCTTTTAGGTGTCTATTCAACTATGTAGAAATGGTTTATCATCATCCTACCTAGACCTGCTAAGCCTGTAAAGCAATGAGAGATGGAAAAATTTGCTGTCCCCTTTTCTCTGACCATCCCCTAAGCGATGTTCCATGATGGTATTCCTAGTGTGCCCCTCATTCTACAGAAAGTGAAAAACATTCCAGTTGTAGAAAATGGGAAGATAGTGTGTGGTACTTATCTACTGAACTCTGTTACCATTTACAACTACTGGAATAATTAACCCCACATTTTTTTTCTTTTCGCCAGAATTAGTTGAGTAAATGCCTTAGTTTTCAATTTTACTTAATCATTGTAGACAGAGCCAAAGGTTCCCTCCTCAGAACACAAGCTTTTCCAATGCGCAAACGATGCTAATGCTCTTGATTGGCATGACACAGCACTCTAAACCATTTGACTCCAGTGAATTAGTCAGGCAAGAATGTCTGAAAGCAGAGTGACCGTTTAAGTACTTAAATGCACAGCAAATAACTGCTTGCCTGTTTTTCTTCACTAGTGCTGTCTCATGAAGCAGTGTATTATTACAGATAATCTACAATGAATAAAAGACAAAGCATTCTGTATTCAAAATATACACACATTTGCCAAGCTGACTGAACCTGTGATTTTTCAAAATAAAAGATACAAATATTTATTAGAAAAATGATATAATTAAGAGGGACTCACTACAGAGCAGTAACTACACATGCTGTATAACCAAACCATAACACCAATAAACAGGTTTTGCCAACAGGCACCTATTGTCAATAAGATTAGTTAAACTAGTGCCAAGAAACCTCTTTCATGCTTCAACAGAACGTAATTTGTTTAAAGTAATGATGACTAGTTATGTGTAATTATCTGATTATCAAAAAAAAAAAAACTTGCCTAAACAACTTTGGTGTGCTCCATTATAAGGTTTCATTTAGACTCTGAATTATTTAATGTTTGTATAATCCTGTACAATTCAAAACTGCACAATTCAAAACTAATTAAGAGATTTGCCCAGATCACCCATAACTTGTAAATTGTCACAACATGGTAGGATACTTAAGTTGGGATTTTTTTTTTTGGAAACTAGTAGAGGCTTCAAAAAATAATGGTTTTCCAGAAGGGGAATAGTTTATAAATCATCAGTCAATGAAAATGATTCATGAAATTATATCAATTTTAATATAAAAAAACATAATTCTTATCTCTTGTGTAGGTAGACTTTTAAGATGTATGAGAAAGTGAATTGCTTATACTATGTAAATGAAAATAATCATTCAGTGTCTAGCACAGTCTTGCAAATCAGTAAACATATTTAGATTCATACACAGAGAATTTTTAGTCATTCATATTCTTCTGGTTTACTTGGAAACACAATGAATTAAACTAATATTATTTCCTGTTCAACTGGCATAAATTAACTTTGCTTCTTGGAAAAATTTATTTTGAATGCTTGCCCAATGAGTTAAAATGCTAAAATTTTTCTTCCCAGGTGAGGTCTCTGTTCCTTATGGGAGGTAACTTAATCTTGTTAATAACAGGAAAAAAAAAAAGATTATAACTTATAAACTATTTCTTTATTATTCAAATTTAAGATACATTTATACATGATACTGAGCTTAAATCATCTCCTTGCATCTACAACACTATCTGTTGATAGTATTAGGAATGCTTTGGCCACAAGTAGTATAAAATATTACTAATATGGGTTAGACAAAGAGAGGCCTATTTTTCTCCTGTAATAAGGGGTTTAGAGATAGGCAGGGGGCTGATGACATTGGTTCCATGACTCAACCTTGTTGAAGCTGATGTCAACTGAATTGCTCCTGGCCTTTTCCTCATGGGTCCACAATGACTGCCCCGAATCTTGGCACTGTGTTCACATCAAGCCAAGATGGAATGGGGGAGACAGATATCAGCACTGCCCACTGCTTTATCAGAAAAGCAAAAGCTTTTCCCCAATCCACCCCTGCAGCAGAATTTCTTCCATCTCATCAGTCAGAAATATGTCACATGGCCACCTCCAGCTGCAAGGATAGCTGGGAAAATGAGTATTTTACTTTATAGTGGAGATAGGCAAGGAAGAAAAAGACTGAGTCAGCTAAACAGCAATGGGTTTTATATTAACATTATCTAATATTCTCATTATAGGCAAGTGATTTACACACACCTGAAAAGTGGGGATAATATTTCCCTGTCTGTGTCAGAACTGTGTGAATGTTAGATGATATACATGAAATTGCTCTATAAGCTATAAAGAACTAAACATAGCTTAGATTGTCAATGTTGATATGGGAACACAGCTTCATAGGTACTATGCCATAACTCCCTTAGGTAGGTGGCCACAATTTAGCCTCCCTATTTCCAGAAACCCATCCTGCAGACCTGTAAACACAGTTGTTCTACAAGTACTGACATAGAGAAGTCTTAAGACATTCACAATAAGTGCAGAGGGAAAAGACAAAGAAAGAAAAGTAATTAGAAATAAGGTATTACAAAAGAATGAAGATTAAGATGATTTAATGCAATTTATAATGTGCATCCTAGCATTGAAAATATATAAAAGGAACATACAATTCCACCATGTAATAGTAGAAATTTTCTCTGAAATTAAGGGAAGAACTGATTAAGTACATTTAAAGATATTATGTTCCAGAAAAAAAAACTGATAAAATTTAGCCTGGTTAAAATATTAAATTTCAAGTAATTAAAAAAATGTTTATTCATTGAGGCAAAAAAAAAAAAAAGTATACTATCATATAAAAAAATCATGCTGGCCTCTGACTTCTCCAAGCAACATTTAGTTCCAGAAGACCATAGAAAAATTCCTGCAAAGTCCTACTGTTAAGGAAGTGTGACTCAAGATGTTTATCACCCAGGTATCAAAACCAAAACCAGATATTCTTAAGCATAGAAGGTCTAGGGAAGTACAACATCTGTGAACCTATCTTGAAATTAAGAACTATATGAAGGTGAATACCAGGCAACAGAGAGAAGAATTAAAATAAATAACTCAGGAATGGAGAAATGATTGATAGTGACTGTTGACTATATTTGAATATAAACCTCAGATAACCAATTGTGAAATTCAGTTTCGGGGACTGAGTTTAAGTGTTATATACCTTGATGATGCAAAAATTATACCAAAAGCAGAAAACACCAAGAGATAGACAAAAGGAGAAGCAGAAAGGGTTTGGGTTTTTTTTTTTTTGCATATTTCTAAAAGAAAGTCAAACCTTTCTAAACTTGAAGCTTGTTCTAAAAACATAACTTCAAACATCTAGTATTTTTATAACATTTTATTTTAAAATTTAGAAGCATATTTTTTAAAAAGTAACACAACTTAAAAATATCTATTTAAGAACAGACATGTGGTTGCCAAGGGGGAATGGGGCTGGTGGAGGGATGGATTGGGAGTTTGGGATTAGCAGATGCAAACTATTATATATAGAATGGATAAACAACAAGGTCCTACTGTATAGCACAGGGAAGTATATTCAATATCCTGTGGTAAACCATAATAGAAAAAAATATGAAAAAGAATGTATATATATATATATATATATATATATGTATAACTGAATCACTTTGCTGTAAAGTAGAAATTAACACAACATTGTAAATCAACTATACTTCAAAAAAATAAAGGAAAAAAACATAAAATAAAACCATTAAAACACCAAGTTAAAAAATAAAAATATCTATTTAGAGTTCAGTATTTATCTCATATATATATAAGATATACATATATAAGCTTATATATATGTATAAATTTTTTTGCAGGCAAGATGCCCAAAGAAGTCCATGTCCTTATCCCCAGAACCTGTAAATATATTACTATACATGGCAAAGTAGAATCAGGTTGCAGATAGAATTAAGGTTGCTGCTAATCAATCGACTTTAAATTAAAGAGATTATCCTGGACTATCTGGTCAAGCCCAAGGTAATCAATAAGGTCTTTAAAAAGGAAAGAGGAAGGCAGAAGGTCAAAAATGATAGAATTTGAGGCCTCAACTAGTCATTGCTGGCTTTAAAGATGGAGAAAGGGGGCCACAAACCGAGGAAAGTAAGCAGCATCTGGAAACAGAAAAAGGCAAGAAAACAGATTCTTCTCTGTAACTGTCAGGAAGAGGCTGACACCTTGATTTTAGCGTCATGAGACTTCTACAGAACTGTCAGATAATGAAGTTATGTTGCTTAAGCCACTAAATTTGTGGCAGTTTGTTATAGCAGCAATAGGAAGCTAATATGCATCTCAGTCTGTTTATATGCAAATAGATATATAAAAATGTTGTTCAGTTAAAGTTAAGGTTGCTTCTAAAGGGGAAGATAAGTAGTTTTACTTTGGGGGTGAGGGTGGAGGTTAGCTCCACCATCTAATATTTGACATGACAATATTTTTGCATTCTTATTTAAGAAATGCTGTCAACGGTAAGTAAAAATTGGCATTAATTCCTCAATATCACTTACTTCATGCTTTGGAAATCCATTTAAAAACCATAGATACACTAATGGTGGAAAATGATAGGTTTACAAATAATGTATCCTGCTGTGACTAAGGGGAGTGGGAGAGGATAATAACAATTATCTAAAGCCAAAATGTTTATCCCATAGCACTTGTACCTAAGAAAGGAAGATATTGAATTGGTTGAATTTTGAGAATTTTGTGATCTGCCAGACAAGTACTTACTGAAAATTTCAAGGTCAGGCTCCCCTCTTCCCTTGATGCCAGAAAAACTATTTACATTCTCTCCTCCTGTTTCTACTCTTTCCTTTTCTCTCGTTTAAACATTTTAACTGTAAGACATTATATTGCTAGTGTTGTTGAGGTTACGTGGAAAGTGAACATGGGATATTTATTTTTGTGATATTATTTTTTGAAAAGAGTAAAAATAATAAGTGCTTACAGAAAAAAATTTCCCTTGCTGAAATTGTATCTCTTTTTTTCTTTGCTTTGGTTCTTCTGATTTGATCTCAGTATGGAAGGCAATTTCCCAGCCCAGGCTCTGACCCTTACAAGTGAATAACATTTTTGCATGCTCTTTTGGCAAAGTAAGTATTCAAAGAAGGATATTCCCACTTTTGTTGGGTGCTAGAATGGATAGTTGACTCGACATCACAGTTTTCAAAGTCTAAGAGGATATACTAACTTGGATGAAAAACATATATACAGGGTCAGGAAAAAATATATAATGTGTAGGAGCTAAAGGGCTTGATTTTCTTGGCTGGCAGAATATATTTTATGCAATTCCAGAGTTGAAGTAAAGACAAATGAATGTCCCCATGGTGTAATCACCGGGTTGAAAAATCAGGTGACTTCAGTCTTCACATTCCCTTTTAGCGCAGTAAGTTTTTATGTTTTTTTATATCTTGGTTGGTGGATGAGTCAATGTTTAAATGGTCATTTATCATTTACTATATAAAAGAAAAGCTATTGCCTGAAACTCATTTTTACAGTTGCAGGCAAACAGAAATAATCATTTTCAAGGACCTAAAGCTGTTTCTTGAAGAATGTCATCATTTTATCCTTATTTTACTTACTATTTACTTATATATGAACCAGGTTCTGAGAGCTGTACCCTGCAAGTCTTGGATGTAAACAGTTTCTACCAACTTCCTGCTGCAGCAAGTGAGGACAGGAAATTAGACTTTCCAGAAATCAAAGTTATCTTTCAGACAGATCAAAGACCCAGATGAAAGGCATCATGCCAGCCATAAGTGGTTGTGGCTTCCATCAGAGCCAAGTTGGAGTAATTCTGGGTAGTTAGGTGATGACCAACTCCCTGTCTCACAGGGAGTGACTGCACTTATTCTCAGGGTGGTCCTGCTTTTTTCAGACATTTCAATAATTATTATTTCAAATATATAGACTTGAGTGTTGTAGACACTTGCTGCCTTTTCTATTCATGAAATGAAATAACCTGTTGGATGTAGAAAGGGATGATGATATACAAGGAAGTTGAACAGTGGCCATGAACATTGATAAGGGTGACTTCATAAAGAGTCTATAGGAGAGATAGGTTGGTGATTTAGAAGGAGCAGAAGTGCTCTAGAATCACCTAGACCTGATTGCAAGTCCTTCTCTGCTGTTTAATAACTGAGTGGATACAAGGAATTTACTGAACCTCTCTGGCCTTATTTTTCTTAAGGTCATAAACAGGAGAAATAATCCTATCTATATCAGAGAATAGTTGTGAAATAAAACATACATAAAAGACCTGCTAAACTGGCTGATGTGCCCTAGGAGCTCAATAAATATTAATTCACTCTTGGTTAATCACTTTCAGATCCAAGAATTCCCTTTGACTGGATCAGAGCAACTTGCCCCTGTAGATATCCTTGGAATGTAATCCTAGGCTAACCATAATTCAGACCTACACTAAAGCAGGTGGAATATGGATAAAGGGCCTTGTTTTAGTCCCAAATCCCCATCTATCCCTCCCTCTTCTTGAAACGCCTGTTGGGTGCCAGCTATGTATCAGTACCACGCTGGACCCTTACATACTTAATTTCCTGTAGTCATTATAACTGAAATGAGGTCACAGTGGTTATTCCAAGTTACCACAGAGGGGACTGAATTTCTGAGAAATCAACTAACTCAAAGTTTCACACCTGATAGATATAATTCTTCCCCCAAATCTTGTCCCACTTTCCCATTCTACCTCCCTCTAAGTTCTGTGATGCTGGAGAGAATTCTGAGATACGGTTTCTGTAAATCAGCCTGAGCGTTTACCATAACAAACTAATCAACACATGAACAAAAGGTAGAGCTTTAGGATTACTCTGCAGCCAGGGGATACTGGCAACACAAACAATTTTGTGCTTCTCTCTGCTTGCTGGTTGATAGCACTGCACTGGGTGCGAGAGATACAGTGACATAACATGCCAGGCAGAGAGGAGAATCACCACCACGTATCAGACAGATCATAGGGAGGTGGTGGGAGATAAAGCTGGGACCTGGCACAAGGGCTAAGCTGAAAGCAATTGATCCCGCAAGGCTAAAAATGTGAACTTAGAGGCCCCTGCGTTACATCTGTACACATGTTCTCTTTTCCACCACCTTTTTTAGGTTTCTAAAAAATATGACTGAGAGGACAAAGCTGCCAAATACATATCATTCATTGAAGCTTCTGTCCTGAATCCTGACCTGCTTACCCTCTCTGATCACCAGAGCTGGAAAGTGTAGAAACATCAGGATACATGTATTCCTTTCTTTTCAAGTCTAGAACTGAGTTAGACCTGAGCAGCCTTTTTTTCCCCCCAAGGTCTTTCTGTACCCCACAAAGTCCTCTAAGTCTGTAGTTCTTATCCAAGGAGAGAGGAAAGGAAGAGAGTTGCATTTAGACTATTTTACCCTTTCACTTTTCCCTCCAAAAGCTGAGGTCCTAGCCTCCCATAGTTCCACTGTGAATTGATAACAGACCCTCTCTGAAGATAGAGTAGGTATTTAATGGCCAGTGAGGACCCTTTCATTATGAAATACAGAAAACAAGTAGCTGCACCTTTAGAATCAATTGCTTGGGAAAATAGAGAGTGGGAAAAAGTTATGATGAAATGTAATTTTAAGAAGCAAATTTGTATTTTAATTATCAGAAAAACATCTATGTACCTTTGAAAAATAGAGATAGTGATGCATCTACTCGGGATACTCAGCATCAGAAAACTCTCAGTGTGTTCAATGGGACTTGTGGGCCCCTTGAAGTCATTTTGCAGCATCCTCACATGGGACAGTCTCAGCCACAGTTTGACAACCCTGCTCTTGGTAATGGGGAGCTACTGAGGAGGATGGTGATATACAAAGTGGTGTATAGATAGGTCACTGACCGATAGATCACTGGAGACATAAGAGACTGACCACAGGGAGACTGGTGATGACATTATTCTAAGGATGAGGTTTGGGGGTTTAAGCCTATAGGGGTGATGGCAATAGAAACAAAAACTATTTGACAGACGTAAAGAATATGTGAGTTTGGTTTTTTCTTATTTTTTGCTACTTGGATGTTGGAAGGGAATAAAGACACCAAATTTTCAAATCTTAGTGATTGGGTGCCTGATGTAGTAAACAGTTGGCTTTAGGGAAAAAATGAAGTCCACCTTAGCTACCTTGAAGTAATGGTGATTTATTCTTTTGGTGGGCGGGTAGGTGGGGATGCTGAGTAGGCAGTTAGAAATCTATGATTGAAGTTCAAAAGAGAGGTCATGACTGTAAATAGAGGTTGTGGAGTCATTTCTATAGAAGAAGGAATTGAAACCATAAGTAATGAAAAATACATTCTCTGAGAGAAAGTATGCAGAGCTAGAACAGTTGAAGATGGATCTGGAGTCTACCAGGGTCAGCCAACTTTTTTTGTAAAGAACCAGAGAGTAGATATCTTAAGCTTTGTGGGCCAAAGTTCTCTGTTGCAACTACTTAACTGTGCCTCATAGGCCAAAAGCGACACAGACAATAGGCAAATAAATTGGCATGACTGTGTTCCAGTAAAAATCTGTTACAAAAATAGGTGACTGGCTGGATTTGGCCTGAGGGCTTTAGTTTGCTGACCTCTGGTGTAGAAAGTTAAGTTCCATAAGGGCAAGGACCACATCTGTTTGGCTCACTACTGTGTCCCTAGCACCTGGCACAGCACCTGGCTTATAGTAGTTTCTTAGCAGACATTTGTTGAATTGATGAATGCTGTGGTAGAATGATTATGTCCATTCTTAGCTTTATTGGAGAAAAAAAAAAAAAAGCAAGAGCATTCTAAGAGTTATGAGGAAAGTCAGGATTGTATGACATAGACAAAAATCAAGAAAAGAGTGTGTCAATAAAGAAAAGTCTAGCAACATTGATGACTAGTAGATTATGAAGAATGAGGAGTTATAACACGTTTGGCAATTAGTAGCAAGTATAAAGATAAGAATAAAAGATCACAGGAATGTTATCAAAGAAAGGATATATACACACAAAATAACCTGGGTGTTAGGATAGAAGTATCTGTATGAAGGAGTTTGCATGGTGGAACTTCAATAGTTACTGCTATTAATATTTTAAAATTTTCAGTCAAAAAGATATGATTTTAATTATAATCCAAATCTGTGGATTAGGTTCGTATAATTCTAACATGATGATTTTGTGAACTATTTAAGGAGAATCAAACTTGTTTTTTGACATTATGTAGATAAAATAACCAGCTCGACTAATTTTTCTGAGTAGTTGTGTTGAAATTTGTCAAACGTTTTCTTTTATTTTTTCCTAAATTTATGAGCTTTTAACTTTTGTGGATTTCCAACCTCACTTTATGAAGCCGATATTAAACATACGATTTAAACATTTTCTTCTTATTATGAGAGTCCAATGTTTACTTATTCCTTCCAGATTATCCCACACGGAGCTGTTGGAATTACCTTGTGATGATTTCAAAGAGCATTGTCTCCTCTACACACTCTTATCCCAAGGTAAATTGATGGATTTCTAATGAATAAATTTCAGGACGAAAACATCAGCATTTTTATACTTCAGTTCAGAGTATTTAATTCCCTCCCCCTTAACTGTAGCCACGAGTCATTCTAAGTTTACGCAGCCCTTTTTAACAGTGGAAAATTATTATTTTTTTGTACAATGTCGATCACCTCTGAATCATTTGTTACCTAGTGTGTTTAGTTTGTTATGCCTATGCAAGTGGGAGAAAAACAATACCATAAACATGTCTAATCATGACATTGAAGCTTTTCTTGGAATAATTGGAGTGTGATGATGGAGCAGGGAGAAAAGAGGGGCTGGAAATTGAGGAAAAGGGTCTCAGCCTGAATTTTCCAAATTGGCTATTTATCTGGTTAATTCTTCATCTTTCCTCATCACCATGTCTGAATTGAGAAAATCTTCCTAATGATAATAAACTATGTCAAGAACAGATGGCTGATTTGATGTGATGAAAATAGCTGTGTCAATTGAGGGTATTTTTTTCCTTACCCATTTTGCTTTTCATCACTCTGGGGTTGGTGGTTCATATGTTTTTTTTTTAATTTCTTTTTTTTTCTGAATTTACCCTCAGCCCAATAGAATGTGGTGAATTTCTCCTCAAAAGCAGTTTGGACCCTTTTTTCTGAAAGAAAGAAAGAAAGGAGAAATGGCTTAAAAAAACACAATTATCACCTTTCCTGCCTTTTCTGCTTTAGCTAAGTTACTTTTGGAAGGATCAGTTTACAACAAATGTTTAGTGTCAGGAATTTTGCAGTTTCATAGGCCCTGACAGCTTGGCATGAAAAAGAGGTGGCATTATGTCAATTGTAAATGAGTATGCTGTTTACATACTAATTAAACTTTGCACTAGTGGGGTGAAAGAATGTCACTTGGAGCACCCCACTTATTCTGTTTATATCATTGTTGTCTATTTAAACAGTCTATTGTTTGGTATGTCACAGTCTCATCCCCTAAATGCCATTTTTGTAACCTTGCACTGCTTTAAAAGTACTACCCCACTGCTTGGTAAATCAAACAAAATCAGTGTATCTAAAAGCAAAGTGGATTCCCAGACTCACCTTGCTGCATAATAGCACTGAGTTTGATGATGGTGATGATGATAAAGATGCTGAAGATAGTAACAGCTTTTATCAATTGCTTCCTATATGCGTGTCCATGGCGTTTTGCTCAACAATTTTTAAATATTAACTCAATCTTCAAAGTAAGGTGGTTTTTGGTTATTACACCCCTTTTACACATGAGGAAGTTGTGGTTGCACAGTCTATGAGGACATCAGGTCTTCAGTGTCTGTGTTGTCATCCACTCTACAATACTGCTTTCTTCTCTGCTGTGTCATTGATCCACAAGGTGTCCCACTGCTATTAGATGTTTCCAGGGTTACTGAAAATATGCCAATGGCAGGGATTTCACTTATCATCTCAGTCCATTCACTTAAGGAAAAAAGTGATCAACAATAGAGAACATATGTGTTCTCCAGTATATTATATTTCTCTGGTATATTTCTTATTTACATTAGAAATCTAACACTAATCCAGGCTCACATTAGATACATATTTCCCACTGCCCTCCAGTTGCATTTTTATCCTGTCTTGTACCAAGGTAGGCTGCCCCAGTCTGTTGGTATATGCTGTAACATAGAATCCGTGTGTGCTCTAGGAACCTGATTCAGGAATACCGGTAGTGTCTGTTAGTTTATAAAATAGCAAGTGATTAATAGCTATTTTATGCTTCTGCTTCACGTCTGCAGAAGGTGGTTTATTGGATTTGGCTAAAGACATTTTTTCTCACTGGATAAGGAACAGAATCAACATTATAGCATACCTGTGTGGGAGGTGGCTTAACATGATTTGCAGCGATAAAGCGCAAATCAGAACTTTTCCTGGCTGGCTCTGCTCAAATGAGCTCACCATCCATGTGGATATTTATACCCCAGCGTTGAGAGTGCAGAGTTGGCATTCCTTGGCATTGTCAACAGAGTGCTGGTTTGTACTTCCTTTTTCTTTGAAAATGACAGAAACAGAAAGCCTAGGTAGTTGACATTAAAATAACTTGCCAAGAGAGGGTTGAACATATGATCCTTTATAGCTTTTTCCTCACTATTTTCAACAATCTTCAAGGTTGAAATAATTCCATAATAAAGTCAAAAATCCTGCAGAAGAAAAGAAAGAAAATATACTTTAGCTCTCCATCATTCCAGCCACCATACCATATTTCATGAAATGTGACAGAGTTTTGCTCCACAACCTTGCCAAAGGAAAAAAATTCTAAATTTTAAGCTGATAACTTGAATGGTTCCAGAGATATCAACTTGTGAAAAGTCACAATTTTGTATTGTGCTGAAAAGCCACCTTACAACCCAGGGACTACCATCACTCTTTAATATCCAGCAGAGCCCCCTGCTGTGCTTTGTCAGTCACTAACAACATCCAAGTCTTCCCGTAAAAGTAATTCACACTTTTTTCACAACACTGTTGCTTTAATTACCACTGAACTCTGCTGATGCTGAGGCAGGCCTGGCAGGACCAAGGGAGGGTCAGAGACACAAAAGAAGCAAATAGCTTTTTTCCTTCCTTACTTTATTATTAACAAACCATCTTTGATGGAAATGTTCCTAGTTATGAGGCCTAGACTTAACTCTGGGTCCCTTGGCGTATTCATTATCAAAAGAGACCCACAGATGCCATTCAGAGAGAAAGAGAGAGAGAGAAATATTACCTAGAATCCCAATTAGAAATTAGAAATTTTGGTAAAGAACAGACTTAGCTATTCAAAACTGGCAAACAATGAATGCATTTCTCCTATTGCTGTCATTTTGTGCAAATGAACTTAAATTTCATACCAAACTGTCTTGCTGGACCAATGTCAATTTATCCACTTATTTACTGCAGATTTTTTTTTTCAGGATTAGTTGACACAATAAATCATGTACCAAAGGAAACCACAGAACTGCCAAAATCTACCAGTGCACAAAAGTGATACAAGGGCTTCCCTGGTGGCACAGTGGTTGAGAATCCGCCTGCCAATGCAGGGGATTTGGGTGCAAGCCCTGGTCTGGGAAGATCCCACATGCCACGGAGCAACTAAGCCCGTGTGCCACAACTACTGAGCCTGCACTCTAGAGCCCACGAGCCACAGCTACTGAGCCCATGTGCTGCAACTACTGAAGCCCACGTGCCTAGAGCCTGTGCACCACAACAAAGAGTAGCCCCCGTTCGCCGCAATTAGAGAAAGCCCACGCACAGCAACGAAGACCCAACGCAGCCAAATATAAATAAATAAATAAGTAAATTTATTTTTTTTTAAGTGATACAAAAAGCCTCTGCTTTATAAATAATATGACAGCAGTATGATAGGCATAACATCTTATGTGTCTAAGGCACCTTTCATTCCATATCACAAAGTATTTCTCCAATAAAACTATCCCTGTGAAACCAGCTTTCACTGTCTCCTCCACATAGAATATAAGGGTGCCTATCAGTAAACTTCATACATACTTTTAGGGAAGAAATAAATAGGTCTGTGACCTTAAGAAAATGACTTAAAAGACTGCTAAGCTTTCTCCTGGCTCTAAAATTGCATGTTTAAAACACTAAAATTTAAAGTCACACTGTAGGCTTGTCTAAGTATCCTCAAGTATGTAATGCTACTATTGTTTATCATTTTTCATTTGCTAATTTATAATCTGATTTGTCAACCCTGTGCAAGGTTAGATTTAGCTGAAAGCGTGGTCCTGTGATAAATTAATTAATATAGGTGAAATAATCATTGGCACCTATTGCAGACCAACTGACTCATATCCCAAGTCTTCTATAATTTGGGCCCAACCTTTTTTTTTTTTTTTTTAATTAATTAATTATTTATTAATGGCTGTGTTGGGTCTTCGTTTCTGTGCGAGGGCTTTCTTCAGTTGTGGCAAGCGGGGGCCGCTCTTCATCGCGGTGCGCAGGCCTCTCACTATTGCGGCCTCTCCTGTTGCGGAGCACAGGCTCCGGACGCGCAGGCTCAGTAGTTTTGGCTCACGGGCCCAGTTGCTCCGCGGCATGTGGGATCCTCCCAGACCAGGGCGCGAACCTGTGTCCCCTGCTTTGGCAGGCAGATTCTCAACCACTGCGCCACCAGGGAAGCCCAAGGGCCCAACCTTTTTATATAGATATCTTTACTCCCATCTATGTAAACCCTATGGCTCAGTAGTTCTAAAATCTGATTGATCATCCAGATTTTCTGACAGGGGAGAGCATTTAATAAATTAAAACATCTTGGAAGTGGGGTGTAGAATCTGTTGCTCCAAAGGGTTCTTGGAGTTTCAGATAATGTGCTAGGCTTGGAGAGCTTCTTCACCAAACTCTTCTGCTGATTTCCTTACTTTCAACACCTGTCTTCCAGCATCTTCTGCTTAGTAATCTTTCAAGTTCTAGTACTGGTAGCACACATTTCATGCAGCAGTTACTGGCTTCTTGAGCTGGTAGTAGTCCTTGCCCTCTCAAAGCCCTGATAGTATTAAATACCTTCCCCTATGTTTTAAACCTTCTATGACAAGTTGCCATTACCTATGTTTTTCTCTTTATCTTTTCTCATATATTTATCTTATTAAAATATAAGCTTTTCCATCCAAGGTGTAGGTTATAACATTTTTCTCTGAATCCACATTATATAAAAAGATGCATTCCAACTGTCTATGGAATGGATGCCTGAATTTAATTTTATGTAGCACGTAAGACTGCAAACCAAGTTGAAATGACTAACTCCTGTTCATATATTCATTTTATGATACAAACACCGTGTAGCATACTGAATTGTTCAAAGGTGGCTGAACCAATATATATGCCTTCCCACATGCTCTTCTTAAAATGTTGACAAATATGTTACGAGTTCCCCCACTGAGAGGTGGGGTCTATGTTCTCTTACCTTAAACCTGGGCAGGTCTTGATAACTGCTTCAACTAAAAATAATGTGATAACAGAGATCCTTTGGGACTTCTGGAGCTAAGTCACTAAAAGGTGACA